GTTATACATTTGAATTTGAAAAATATTAACACATATTAAGCAAAAAATAAATAAAATTAACTTTTGGGATTCACATAATCCTAAACTTCCTAATAACTAATTTTGAAATATCTTAAATATCTTGTGAATTTAAGAGATAAATATATAATATTTGAAATGTACTTACAAATCTCCAAAATCAGAATCTTTTATTATCTATACTAAAAATCAAGTGGACCATCCATGTGAGTGTTATGTTATGTATTTGTAGCATTTTCCTAAAAATAATGACTATGTCCCATAATATTGTTGAGAATCCCAAATCCCCACAACCGGAAAATAAGTTGAACATAGATAAAAGTTTAGGGATGTCCATTAAAATCTAATATTTTTATATAATGATGATTTAAAATAACAAGTATATAAAAAATAAAGTCTGGATTCTAAAATCTGAACCATCAGAACCAGTTAGACATGCCAATCCAATATATATATATATATATATATATATATTTCAAATCAGATTAAACAAAAAATAAGAAGAAAAACTGTAAGGGATTATGTCATGTACAGTTAAAAAAAATAATATATCCCAAATTAACATTGGGATTCCCAAATCTCAACAATTGAAAACGTAAATTTATGAAACAACGAGTATATTCCAATATATTGTTGGATTCGAAAATCCTATCAATTCTATAATTATTAAACATCCCAAAATGGTTAGTTTTAACATATCCGATTTTAAAAAATAAGGACATAAATTTTTTAGGAACCTCAAATTCCTAACATTCATTTTTACTATTAAAAAAAGTCATATATTTAAGTGATGTATATTATTGGAATAATTTTTATAACTACCAAAATATGAAAAAAATTCAAGTCTTGATATATTTTTGAGATATAATATGATTTTCACCAAAATCGGAAAAAAAATAAAATCAAGTAATAGTTGACAATGTAATTTTGCTATCGCAAAGTTCAAACTCATTATTCATAGGAAGACGAAAGTGTTGGAGTATCCTACCAATTTCTTAACATTTTATTTTGACTTGCGTAATTTTGCTACCCCACAAGATGTTGACAATGTAACTTTTCAAAAGCAAATATTTGTATTTTTAATTTTATTTTCAAATATGTAGACATACATGTGGTTGTATTTTATATTTTAATTATCTACGTGTTATGTTGTTAACAAATATTTCACATCTAATCTAATATTATAAATACACTGAATATTATTTCCCCGTGCATCGTACGGGTTTTGCGCTAGTAACCTAAATAAAGTGCAAGAAAATATTTTATCATGTGTGTTAGGAAAGTTGCTATATATATAATGTATATATATTTTCATTAAACGGAAAATATGCACATGCTAATTATGTTCGATTCATCAACCTTAGATAAGCTACCGGTTATGCTCGATTATTAAGTAATACAACTTTATTATTAATCAATTTATTTAATTATTATGAGGTGGAGTGGGCTCAACAGATTCTTGCTCACGAAAAGAAATCCATTTTATTGTGGGGTTGATCCAACGTCCACTGCCGGTTTCGTTAAATCATATAACAATTTGAAGTTCTATTGGATTCTAGGAGCGGGTCATCTGGTAAGCTCACCTACATATTATCTCTTCAGAATACTCTTTTTTTTTTTTTTTTTTTTTTTTTTTTTTTGTGGAAAAAAAACCACCCCTGAAAAGTAGGGGGGAAACAAACTCATTTACCCGATCAATTGTTGGTAAAACATCTCTGGTGCCTAAATTCTACCCAAATTCGTTGCTCTCTTTTCGGCCACTTTCCGGAATCATCCGATGTCAAGTTTGGTCGAGTGACCTACCATTGGACTCGTCTTTTTGTTAGTGTGATATTTTCGTCTCAAACAAAGTCTATTTATACCTATTTAATTTTTCGTTTAACATTTCTTGCACATAGGAGTCGAGTTTGGTCCTTGTTAACGTATCTTTTTCAGGTCACGCATATTTTAGTGCATATTTTTTTTTAAAAAATTTATCAGAGGATGTATCGATCTTGCGTAACTTTTTTTTTTTTTTTTCTATGGTTTCAGGTACCTCTTGAACAGCCTTGCACTGCATTAGAAATGATAACAAACATAACACAGTCTCCTGCTCTTTCTTGAAGATACATACTACTCTACCAATGACAAGTTCTAAAAGATCATCACATAAAATACTGTCTATCTAAGAGCTTCATAAAGGAAGAAGAATAAATAAAATAAACATACTTATCCGCATGTAATGAACCTTTACAGACTTCTAAGT